TGCTAAGGCAGGGTCACCTAGCTTCTTTCCAGCAAAAGGGTTATGATGTTGCGCTGGGGTCTGTGGCGGAGGGACGGTCGGCAGCAAAGGGGACTGGCCGTCGGTACGCTGAACAGAGGATTGTTGTTGAGAACTGGAAGTGCGATTCCGCCAAGCTCCACGGGTGTGTACAGGGGCGGCATGATCGGGGAAAGATGATGGCTCTTCGTCGCCCTGAGTATCGCCCTGGGTGTCGCCTTGAATCAGATGGTCGAGATTGCCGAAGTCGACAACGGCGGAATCCTCCTCGTGTATCGCTGGCTGCTCGGCGCTGTGGTCCTGCGAAATAGGACTCGTCTCGACAAATGAAGGGCCTTCGTAGTAGTTCTCGTAGTCCCGATCGTTGTTATCTTGCGTCGGGGATTGCTGCGAGACGTCCATCTTGACTTTCGTGTAGAGCGCGCGGCCCGAAGCGTTAGGGAGGGCATTGACTTTCCTCGCGGTTTTGTCGGTAGTGCATGATGCGGGGACCTCGACAGATATCGGATTTATCGCGTCGTAGTCGACATGAGGCTTTGGGTCTGCTGCAAGACAATTCGAGTGGTCTCGAATGTTGAGTCTTGTCGAGGCCAGGCTCGCAGGAATTGTGTCGGAGTCTGGGCCGCAATCTGGGTCTGCAGCATCCACAGCGGTAGCGACAACAGGCAACGCGGGTGACGGAGTTTCGTGGTCGAGGTCGTGCTGGGGTAGCTATTCTGGTCAGTGCCATCCCAGCCCCATGTGAGACATCCTTGTCCAGTCGGTGGGGGTGTAACAAACTGGGTTTTTTGTACTCGCTACCAGAGGAGCAGTGCTGGGGAAAGATTGGGCAGTGCGCTGACTTTCGCTTTGGCTTAACGGATCGGAATGGCGCGAAAGAAGACTGTCGCGATGTCGTTTATTGCCTCTCGAAGTGTGTCGCGACGCGGTGGACGATGCTCTTGGGGGCGAGCTGCTTGTCTATGGTGGTACCCGAAATAGTTAGCGCAAAGTCGCAGCAAGGCCTGTGTCGTAGCAGTGCTAAATTGTCGCCATCAATCCAGTCCAATCCAATCCATTGCCCAGCAGCAGAGCCACCAGACATGCTCAGGGCAGGCAGAAAATACGCCTCCACTGGGGGAAACGCCACCCTAGAAAAAGCAAACATGGCCGTACGTACCACGCCGATCCCGTATTCTGCCACATATCGGTCGAAAATGGCTTGGCTGTCTTGCGATTCGTTATTGCCCTCGATAGCCTTCTTCTCTGCCGCTTGAAGGGTTTTGGACCGCGGCATCGTGACATTCCATTGTCGAACCGGCTTTGACTTGGTGAACAGCAATGTGAATGACGCGACAGTCAGGGAATCAAAGATGGTGGGGGAGGGAAAAGGTGGCAGGGGTCGAGGACGCGAGCGGACCAGACACGAGACCAACACGGTACCACGTGACCAGCCTCACCACGTAATGGCGGCGGAGCTCACTTACGTAAGCCTGGCGCTGCATAGACCACTCGCTCCTGCCATTGCGTCTTTCAGCGCTTCCTTTGAATGAAGTGAGGAAGGTACCTTACCTTGCTAGCCAGGAAAGAGCTTCTTAGGATTTGATGGAGAAATCTTCGAATGTTTGAAAATCCAAAAGCTTTCACAATGAAGAGGTAATCACATAGATCATTGTATGGCATAAAGAAGCCTGGATTCTGCTTATTTTGCGTCTATTGATGGGGCCCTTATTAGCAGTACTGAAGGGTGGAAGGCTTTGGTATTAAGGAGCAGATCACGGATTGGCTTTGTCGCAGCTCCATCAAAGGGTCCTTGGTTTGACAGTAAACCTTTCAAAGCATTAAGTGATCATTATTGAGAATCATGGTTCAAAGAATCCTCAAGTTCGCCATGCAGCGCAATCCCCAACGTATCAGAATGCAAATATAACTAAGCCAAGGCCGGCTATCTCAGGTAGTAGAAACGCAGAAACCTAGAGTTGCTGTTGACTTGTCTTGGCATTTAGAGGAGACGCTCTCGCAGGTAAGTATCCCCACAAGTCTAACAGCTGAATGCGCGATAGGGAAAATGACGAGGTAGAAACCACATCCATATTAATATGTAGTTGACCAGTCCCTCAGCCATGCAACATAGATATTTGAGCAAGCGTATGAAAGACGTGACTCAAACAGAAGGTTACGTTCAAAGGACGTAAGACCTCTTCAAGTACACTGGAAAATCGTCGACGAAAGCAAAATCACTAGGAGGGTGGCCAATCCACAACCGGCTATCTTCTCCCTACTCCTCCTACTCCTCTTGTCAATATGTCAATATGCTAATATCTTGAGCACAGGACAAATTACACCAGCAAGCGATGCTCCTGGCCGCTGTCGGCTGACCTCTCACCCACGGAAGTGACAAGTATTAGAGATTTAAGTTACATGGCCTTGACCGATTCAAGTTGCATCTTCTGCTCATCGCAGCAGAGAAAGTTGCCAAGCATCGTGGCTGAGCAAGCCAAATATTCACTCATAGGACTGACATCTACGATCTGACGGCCGTGGATACATGTACAATCAAGCAAGCCTTAGCTATCACCACAGGCGGGTATATAACTTCACGTCACTCAATACTGCATTTGACAGTGCCATCCATGGTATTTACTATGGCAGAGATATGTACGTGGAGTGTGCTCCTAGGTATGGAAATAGATACAGGAAAGGTAGAGCGCAAAATGTGCTCATGAACTATGCCGCTTCGCTCGAATCAATCATGCCGTCATTTCAAGGATTGTAACTCAGTACTTCGAGGTTTCGGACTTGATATTCCGTGTCTGTGGTGGGGTTGTCAGCCATTTGAGTTCGCGAATAAATTGGCAAGGAAAGCTTACTGCTCGTTGGGCCGGGCGAACCGGAGGAACCCTCCATTTGCAAGTTGATGATCCTGTTTACCGCTCGTGTCAGCAATCTGTTAAACTTCACGCTTAGAAGCCAAGCTTTTACTCACAAGTACATAGGCTTCCCAAAATACCCGGCGCCCACCTGCGTCGTGATGAGGTTGCCATCCATGTAGAACTTGGCCTGCACGTCCTTGCCGTTCAAGTCCCTCGTCTCGCACTTGAACGAGTGAAAGTTGCCCGGGCTGGGGTACGTCACGTCCTTCGCGGCGACGATGGAGCTCGTGTTGAACGTGTTGAAGCTGACCTTGCCGCTGCCCTTCCACTCCGCCATGTCGATTTCTGGCGGCCACCCCTGGACGGCCGTCAGCCAGAAGGCGGGCCACGTGCCCTTTGTCGTCGTCGCCTTGATCTCGGCGCTAAAGTCGTACCCGCCCCCGCGCGAGACGTTGAAGTGCTCCTTTGCATGAATCGCTCCGCTTAGGTAGTTGATGTTGATCTTTTGCCCGCCGTGCGTCGCCTGAGGCTGCCCGCTGACCTTGTTGGCTGTAATGGTCAACGTGCCGCCGCTGAATTTGACGTTGTCCTTTGTCATGCGAGCGCCGCCGTTGTGGTCGGTGCCCCAGGGGTAGAGGTAGTTCCAGTCGGCGTCGAAGTTGGATTGGGAGTCGAAGCTCGTCTTAGGGATTATGGTACGGACGGCCCCGACGGGGAGCACATCTGCCACCAGCAGCGCGCTGCCCAGGAAGAGGGCGGCTTGGTTGAACCAGACCATTTTTTTCAAAGAGAGGCTGAAGACTTGTTCGCGCTTGAGATGGGCGATGAAGCTCCTTCGACTAATAGACCAGACGAACGGGCGGGAAACGGGCTTAGTCAAATACCTCTTCAACCAAGCTTCAAGCTAATGGCAGTCGGCTGATGTCTATTGCTAGCTCGGCTTCACGTTCCCTGTCAAAGCCCCGCCAAACCCTCGAGATAGATGAACTCACCTCCACACCGTCAATTTTTCCACCCACTGCCAGGGACTGGAAACATCGCTTTTGGAAAGAGGCGAAACACTCCGACGCAGGGGCCTCCCTATGACATGACGATCCGAGGGCCGCTAAACTTAGACGGCTCTCACGGCGAACAACATAGGGATATTGGAGGGCACTTTCATTCTCAAACGGGGTTTCCAGCCAAAAGTCTCAGGGTGAACACGAACTGAACAGGGTCATTTTGAACCGGGGTGGGAACGATGGTCGTCCGAACTTAATGGCACATCAGGCCAAAGGTTGCACCTAGCCCCCGCAACCATGCATTGCTACGTCGTATCGTGAAGGAGTTGTCGGCACTTGCCTATTTGGCGGTAAAGCAGGACTGGATTTTGCACCAGTCGCCGTTGGCAAAGGATATAAAATCACCGGTTAAGCTTCTTCAGGTTCCCGTGGGATGCGTCAGCTGTGCCTGTGATCGCCATGTCAGCTCGGGTGACCGGTCAACGGGCGGCCGGACGATCCTGCGCCCTTCCGGCACAAGAACCCCGACAATTCACCCGAGAGTTGCATGATTGGGGGTTTTCATGGGCAATAGAGCATATCATAAGTCCTCGAATATGAATTTGGATGGTGTTGTCCAATGTTCGTGGTAGACGAGCCTTTGGGAGAAGGTTGTTTCAAGCAAATTGAATGGGGTTTGAGTTGAGACGACTCCACTCGTCTAAGCGAGCCTGGACTTGAGGCGGCAGAGACTGCTTGCTGTTGGACGCAAGCTCAGGAGACAACGGTAATTTGACATTAGCCTTATGCGAAGATGATGAGCTTGATGAACTTGACATGAGAACTGCTTTTTTCTGTCGCCAGAAGTTATTTGCAGCCTACTGTCTGACATCCGGTCCGAGACCTTAGTCACGAAGTCACTCGCCAAGTCCAGTAGGCACACACCAAGGCAATTCATGGACCTCGATGATGAAGAGATGGAAAGAGATTTTGGCATCACCAGTATTGCAGTCATCTATACACTGGAAACAACACTTCACCTTCCACACTCCGATGTCTCGAATCTTCGGAAATGATATACCCTAAACTAACCCAACGCCAATAGGTTTCCATCTCCTAAGCTATCTTCTAGCCGTCCCCATCCAGCCCGTCACAAGACAGTGACATCACCCTCCCATGCATCCCTGACGGCATCTTCCTCACAACCAAGCTGTACTTCTTGATACGCAAGACCCAGCCTCTCATACTTACTTGTATCCGCTGGAGATCTTCCTAAAACAAGATAGGTCATGTCTACGAGCTTTTCCTCAGCGACAGCCCAGTCTCCAAGATGGAGCAACATGACTGGCGACTCTGTGCCAGCCGGCTTAACCTCGGAGCGAGCTGGCGAGCGACGAACCGCGGCATCTTCCCCCTTCATGGTATCGTTCAAGCCCAACTGGAACCTCTCCAGACGTGCATCGGGATGGAACTCGACCGAGTCTCCGTTATTCTTGATTCCATACGACCTAAACCTGCCACGGCGTGTGGCAACTACTTCGAGGGTCGCTTGAAAGATCCGACCACGCAAAGTAATGTAACCGGCCGTCACATTTCCTAGCGGGTTATTGTTGCTGGTAGTAGTGCTGGCATCAACAGCGACAGCCTTGGAGACCCATTGGTTTGCCTTTGAACCTGGTTCAACATACGGTCCTTTGAAAAAGTCGACCTGGCCACCAGCTGATGCCTATGAGAATGTTGGTATGTGGCAGTTGACCCGGTCTTGGGTATTCGCATCATCCAACTCCTCGATTCTTCTCTTTGGAGTGTACCACAAAAGGTCGTTGATGAGTTTGTCTTTCCAGAGTCCGGCAATGTAAGGAGACCCTGTCTTCTGTTGGAAAACGGTTGCCAGACCCGACAACGCAGGTAGTCTGTCACTTCCAAACGTAAGTTGACGTTGAAAGAATTCGCTGACAATATCACGCCACTGTCCAAACGCAACATGCGGACTCGTCATATCTTTGGGGGAAAATAAAGTCGTCTGGGTGTTTGTAGAAACTTCTTTGAAGGTGTGGCATTCGCAGTCTCTCTCAGTTTGGCAGGTCCACCACAACTCATGTTCTGTGTATGTCACAGTCCTGCGTGAGAGAAGTTCCTCCTGCAAAGTCCAACCTCTCGTCATGAGCGGAAGCTTCGGCTTGCGATCTCCAGTAATGGTTTTCACATGATCATCTGCCTCTGGAATGACTCGAGCTGCAAGTATGGACAGCTTGCCTCGATCGGTGCGCCAATTCATACGTAATGGCTGTTGTTGAAGGGCCACCTCGTGTTTCTGAGAGATGAACCCCTCAGTAGAGGTGTGAGCTGTTGCAGCGGAAATGGTGAAATATGCGTCACTGTATACGGAAGCCATCTTCGAGGCCTCCTTTTCCCAGTCTTCAGCGGAGTCCTGAATGATGCAAATCGCATCTACCCAGAGGTATTTCAAGCCAAGCCCTCTTGTGATTTTCACAGCGTCTCTAACCGTCTGTGGAAAGTCATCTACATTGAGGACTCTCTTGTGATCGTCGATAGTTCCTTTTGTGGTCACAAAATTCCCACTCTTGCCCCAACAGTAACTGAGCGCGGTGTAGGGAGTTGGGTGAATTCCAGCGGTTTCAACCAGTCGTACCTGGATATCTTCCGCATTGCCGACATGTATGACTCTTGTTGGCATCGTTGGGGATTGAGGCTTGCAGAAAGGGTGGTTTTCGTCACAGTTCCGGATGCAGGAGCGAATGAATTCAGCCGTTTGATCAACATCTCCAGAGGTACTCATCTCGTAGCCCTGTGTGATGCCATCCCAGACAGGAGGGTATCCTAAGAGTCATCGTCAGACCGGTGCATATGGCTGCCATGTTAAGTAAGCTTACCAGTAGGGGTGTAGAATTGTACAGTGACACGTGCCATGGGCACGCTCAGCTGACAACCTCCTCTCTTGAACATGAAGAGAACAACTCGCTGACAATGTAAAGGAGATAGTTTAAGACGGTCAAGAGTTTGAACAATAGCAGTACACCAGCGGCACCCATCGGCGGAACCGGTCTCAAAGTCATGCTTTGAGCGAATGAAGGTACGGAACTCGATGCGCCGGTACCCAGCCTTGACGGGCGTTTGTTTGACACGAAGATTGTGACACCATTCGCACGGTTTCGGAATCGTAATTGGACCGAACTTAAGCTTTTGAACGCACGCGATGGTAGTCCAGAACTGCGACGCTGGGAGTGTGTTAGGAAAAGAGATTGACTGGAGTCTTCAACATCGTACGTACCGGTGAGCTGTGGGCCTCCGACCTTCGCTGTCAAGGTAGTAGTCGACATCTCGAGAGCTGAAATAGACGACGCGGTGAAACAACGGTTGAAAATTGGAAAATAGCTTGTAGATCAAAGTCACGAAAAGAGTATGCTTCAGAGTGTTACAACAGTGAAATGACTTGTTTGAGTTGTATCGATGAATTTCATGTGTTGCACAACTCTAGTACGGGGGCAACCACAAGCATGTCATTCTGTGTCAATTTATATCAATCCCACCTGGCTGCTGAGAGATCTCAGCGAAGCTAGTCCCCGGCCTGATCCAACATTCTCTTACGACACTGTTTCCGCCAAATCGAATTCTGTTTAGCCGCCAGACTCAAGATGTCTCATGTTGTTGTTAGTTCCAACTTCCAGCTCATCAAATGCATTTCAGTGGAGCAAACAAGCCCCTTCTCCCAATCAAGAGCTGTCTTGACCAAGATGCGCCGTCCAAATCCAGACTAGCTTCAAGAGGTTCGACATGATGTTGACTGTTGGTAAGAACATCAAACCAACTGACAGGGTCTGAATCCGTAAGCGCTACGCATCCGCGCGCGCCTACAGAAACCAAAAAAACACCATTGGTCTCCATCGTGAGATTCCTGTTGGTTTGCACAAACTTCACTGCTGCGGCTGATCACCCAAGTCTTCAATCGCCCTTTTGCATGGTAGATCGAGGATAGCCAGGTAGAGTACATCCTTTCGTCTAAATTAGCTGAATGATTCAGTCAATGCATACTTGGGCGCTGCGCTTACCTTTTGGAAAAGACCCTTGAAGACATCACTTGGAATGCTTGAAGAACCAGCTCTCTTCTTCGCCTTCTGGGATTGACCTTTGCCCGCGAGTCCCCCAACATGATCATCTTCCACGTCGTGAGATTCCACGTCGTGAATCCTGGCTTTGCTGTTTGATTTCGTTCCATCATCTTTCTCAACACTGTTTGTACTGGTCTCCTTCACTTTGTGACTTCTTAGGCCAACGATCTCATCCGCCCTCTCCTGATGGTCTGCCGTCTCGCTGGTTTCGTCATCGATCTTCTTTCCTTGCTTCGCATTGTGAATGCATGTACCTCTCTTTTTCCCTTCCTTTATGTTCTTCTTGCTTTCCTCCTCCTTCTTCTTCTTTTCGTCTCTCTTCACTCTCTCATAATCCTTCCGAACCCGCTTCTCCGGCTTTTTGCTGGACTCGGCTTTCTCATCTGTACTTGCAAGCTTCCAGCGACCTCCTGTGAATAAAGAGACAAGGTCACCACTAGATACTTGATGATTCGGGTCAGCGTATCGTGACTTGAACTTTGGTTGCGGCATTAAGTTCATCCTTGGGTGATCCTTGTTCTCGTCGATCCAGGTAGCTTGAGCGCGTTTGTCTGAGTGGTCCTTGATCCAATCTTCCATTCTGTCCCAAGTGTTCTTCTTTTTTGCTTCAACATCAGCCTTTTTGGGATTGCTCTTGGGGTCCGGGAAGATAAGGGGCGCCGGCTCAGGCCAACTGAAGTCGCCACGAGTGGGCTTCATCAAGTCACCCATCTGTGTCTTCAACTCTTGCCAGCCCTTCGAAGGCTTCTTTTTCCCTGCGACAACATCTGAGATTTCCTGCTTTAAATCAGGCTTGGTTTGTAGCGCATTCACTTCCTCCACAAAATTGTTTGCGAATTGGCCGCAGTCGTTGTCGGGCTGCCATGTAACAACGAGGCAGACCAACCCTCGTGGAATAAAGAAGTCTGCATTGACGCAGTTCAAGAACTTGTTGGAGCAGTATAGACTTTGTCCCTCCATGGCGGCCACGGTGGCAGCCTCAAAGGCGAATCCAAAGAGCAGCGATGCAGGATCTGGCAGTGCTTCTCCTGCAAAGCCCGCCAAATTGACGGCACTGATCCAAGGGTTGGGTTCCAGTGACTTATTGAGGGTATCGATAAAGTCGAGGAAAGTATCTTGATTGATATTAAAGTCGACTAGCATTGGTGCGTAGGCTTGTATGAAACCCCGCGCTCGCTTCTCGGGCCGTCTCTGGGGCACAAGCACTGGCAGAGAGAGTCTCTGCCCATCCTCAGAACTTCCAGTAATATTCAACGGGTGTCGCTTGATGAAAGCCAATGCAAGATCATCTGTGTCTTGAGAAGGTGGCGAAGTTGACACGGGCGTTGTTGCTCCAAGGTCAGTGGTGTTCGCTAATCCCGTTCCTTCGTCAAGCTGTATCGGGGTAGACTCCGCGTTGCTGATACTGTCTGGCTGGCTTGAGGGATTTTCTGGATTTAGTACTCTGGACTTCTTCTCTTTCCTGTGATGTAAGGCTTCAGAGATGGTACCAATACCTGCAGCCGCCGATTGGGCAATCTCTTCCACCAGGCCATGCTGTTTTCCACTGCTATTCCCTCCAGTCTTTACGACGACCTTAGACCGTTCTTTCAAAACGCTTTGCACCAAGCTGGCGGCTGTTTGGGAGGCCACCTTTCTGCTTTCACTACTTATGGTAGCCAACATATTCGTACTCGGCTGAGTATCATCTGGGAAAGAAAGACCGTGATTTTGGAACGTTTGGAAGGCTTGTCTCCAAATGTTGGTGAATACTGCAGAGAGGTCGATTGCTTTTAGATTGAAGACTGGAAGAGGGTGAAATCTGCTAGTCAGATTGCAAAATCATATCGCGTCACTCGTCAATCTAGAGGGAGAAGTGGTCTTGTACGAAAATGTGTTTTTAGGAACTTCGTAGTTTTTTAAACTGCCTTAGGTAACGTGCAGGTAACAGCATCCTTTGTGGCTGTGAATTCGCACTCGCTTTTGCAGCAAATCTCGAGGTTGACACCCTATCAGCTCCTGCTTGGCATGTCAGCAGCCAAGAGTGATGGGCAGTCCGCGGGATGCGGAGACGGGACCAACAAGCGGCAGGGGATAGAGCCACCGAGTAGTCCACAAGGTCATTCGATCTGGTCTAGGCGCCCAGCTTCCTATCAGATCGACTTGGGTGGAAGTGTGGGACTGCATTACGGTGTCCTTTTTCCAACTCTCGGTGTGCTAGTAACTTGGAATTTCAATAATGCAGCAAACTTGTCTCGATAATAAGAACGGAAAACGATTGATGATAATAGTGAATTTGAGAAACTAAATGTAAATGATGATCTGACTCAAGTTGGTGCATTGAAATGCGTATTGAACAAAAGCGAAACATATCCAGTCAAGTCCAACTGTCTGTGGAACTTGGTTTCAACACCCGGACCACATCCCATGTGAGTGCTGTTTGCGCAATCATTGGACCTATCGTTCCGGAAACCAATGATGCAGTGATCAAGTCGAAGGATTGTGATGTCAATGTGATTACCACTGGCATGAACCGCCGCAGTGCACGCTGCCATCGGTAGAGGTGCCAGAGACAGCCCAGCTTCCCGTTCCAACCAGGTTGGAACCGATCAAACCACCCCAGTCGACACCCTTGTTGCCACGAGGGAAGTTGACAGTAACTCTGCAACCGATTCCCTGAATGCCAGCAATTGCTTGGTTGCTGAAGCCGGCCTCTTCGCCTCTACAGTTGCCGGCATAGTTGACGAAGGTGCTGTCGATGGCTGCCTTGAGATTATCGCGGTTGACGCTGTTGCAGGAGCCTGGGTGATCGATGGTGACAGTGACACGCTCGCAGTGATCGCAGGCTTTGCGCCAGCAACGGGGCTCGAGAGCCCCCGCGAGAGATGGGAAGGCGGTGCTGAAGCCGTAGAAGAGGAAGAGAGTGGTGAGGATGAGAAGAACGGGGCGGCTGAAGTGTGCCATTGTGACTTTGTTGTGTAAGGTAGGGGGGTTAAGAGAAATCTTGAGTAAAGCTTGGAGTTGGGAGTGTGCGGTGGTAGTTTTCTGCTGTTATGGACAATATTTTTGTTTCGTTGGGAGCTTTCTGGGCGTTATATACGCAGGTCTCATGCAATGTTGTGTGCAATCTGTTCATGACACTCATGATCATTGCTTGACAAATCGTAAGCGCAACTCCACGAACACAATTGTCTACTCCGAGTTCAAATCCAAAATCGTATTCTCTTTGATTGCCCAACATCCTATGAGATCCTCGCCAGTGTCCACGTTGTTGCGTTGCTTCACAACGATCCCAAACTCAGTTATCGTGAAGACTATGGCTAATTCTTCTCTACTCATATGGCTGAATCTCGAGCAGCCGATAAATATGACAGAGTTTGATGACAGCAAGTCCTCGTGGAGTTATTGAGAGATTCTGAGTGGCCAGTACGAAGCCTAGGCCATAGTTCATCCGTCTTTGACTTTTTTGAGTTCGCGCATGGATCGTCAAGGAGTCAGTTGCGACTCGGATGTTCGGCTGCATCTTGACTCGCCGACATGTCAACTGGCCAGCTACACACTGATTTACCCAATTCCGGAATGAAATTAAATGTGAGAAGCTTTTTATTTTCCGATAAACTCTCTTGGAAGTTCCACAACGAGCTCAATAGAACGAACGAGCGTTATTGACCAATAAGGAGCGGACTGTAATGCGCGTGGCAAGGAAGCATCTCGTGATGAATCAGTTCAGTGCAGACGTCAGGGCCCATGGAGCAGCGACATGATGGCAACCAGCCATACATTCGCAATAGTGGTAAAACAGACTACATATCAGTTGTCTTGAGCTTGCAAGTATCGTGATATATCAAAGATTTCATATAAATAGCACCAACAGCCTCGTTTCCTCGTGAATACTTTTCGACATCGACAACAACCTTTCCCACAATCTCATCACCAAAGTATTTGAATCTTCTTCAAGTCAACTTTCCAAAATGCATTTCAGCTCCTTCATCGCCTGCCTTGTTTTGGCACCCCTGGCTCTGGCCATCCCAGCTGAGTTGCCTTCTGCGGAAGGTGCTTTGGCCCTGAGAGCTGCTGAGAACATTGAGATCCCGAAGGACCTCCCTGATGATTGGAAAACTGCCCTCGAGGCTTACTTCAAAGGTATCGTCATTTCAAATTGGAATGAAGTTTCGGTGATGGAAGAGATCCTTTGAAGAGTACAAAGCTGACAACTCTGCTAGACACCGATT